ACGCGTTTGGTAACTACACAAAATTTCTATTCTCGGAATAGAAAAAGAATAGAAATTGAATCAGTACTATCTTAAAAAATTTTACTCCCAATTTTTTCATTTAATTATAAAATGGGCCCAATTCCAAAAAAAACCTTCAACTTTACACTTTGTCCCAAATATACCCTAAACTTTTTTTTGTCTCAAGAAAAACCACCAACTTTTATCTAAGTCCCAAATCTGCCCTCCCGTTAAAAATCCGTCCAATTAACGTGAAGAAAAAAAAAAAAACAGAGAACCGGCAGCTGCGGCGGTGGCCAAGCCTTCGCCGGTGGCCGCCGCCACAGCCGCCGGGAAGGAGCGGCGGCCTCACCTAGGCCTTCCGAAGGCCGGCGACCCTCGCCCGGCCCAGGGCGAGCCGCCCGGAGAGAGCGCGCGGCCCCCATCCGGGGCGAGGTCGCGCCCTCCCCCGAGATCGGGGGTTGCGCGCCCTCGCCGGCAGCTCGCCTTGTGGCCGGCGAGGGCGCAGCCCGATCCGGGGCGAGGGTCGCGCCTCGCCCCGAGATCGGGGCCGCGCGCCCTCGCCGACGGCTCGCCCGGGCGGCGAGGTCGCCGGCCTCGAGAAGGCCCGGGCGGGGCCGGCGAGGGTCGCGCCCTCGCCCGGATCGGCGGCCGCGGGCCCTCGCCGCGGCTCCCCGGGCCGGCGAGGTCGCGCCGACCTTCGGGAAGGCCCAGGCGAGGCCGCCGCTCCTTCCCGGCGGCTGTGGCGGCGGCCACCGGCGAAGGCTTGGCCACCGCCGCAGCTGCCGGTTTTTTTTTTTTTTTTTTTCTGACGTTAATTGGACGGATTTTTAACGGGAGGGCAGATTTGGGACTTAGATAAAAGTTGGTGGTTTTTCTTGAGACAAAAAAAAGTTCAGGGTATATTTAGGACAAAGTGTAAAGTTGAGGGTTTTTTTTGGAATTGGGCCTTATAAAATGTGAGTGGAGACTTAACAATTCTTCATGTTTGGATAAAATTGGACTAGAAATATAATATTATGATATAGAATTGGATGACCTTAATACAATCATAAAGAAAATTACTCCTTATAGACAAAAAGCAAATACTGAATGGTGGTCGAGGAAATTACAGTTTAGGATTTAGGTTTTAGGGTTTCGAATTTGGAGTTTTGGGGTTTGGGATTTTAGGATTTTGGGTTTAGGGTTTGGGGTTTGGGGTATATGGTTTTAGAATTTAGGTTTTAGGGTTTTGGGTTTTGAGTTTGGGGTTTTAGGGAATGCGGTTTTGTGGTTTAGAGTTTTAGGGATTTGGGCTTTGGGTTTTAGGTATATGGCTTAGGGTTTAGAGTTTTAGGTTTGGGATTTAGGATTTGGGATTTGGGGTTTAGGGTTCAAGGTTTTGCAGTTTAGGGTTTGGGGTATAGGGTTTAGCATTTCGGGTTCAGGGTTTGGGTTTTGGGGTCTACGGGTTTAGGGGTAGGGTTTAGGATTTTGGATTTTAGGTTTAGGGTTTAGGGTTGAAATTTAGGATTTAGGGTTTAGATATTAAGATTTAGGATTTAGGGTTTATGGAATAGATTTGGAACAGAATCAAAAAGTAATTTTCTGTTCTAGTGAACAAAAAATTGACTGACGTTACCAAACAGATTTCTGTCCTTTTTTTGTTTCGGAGAACAAACGAACATAGAATCAAAGAATTTGGAGCGTTACCAAACATGCCCTTAGTGTAATAGAGTTCCCAAATCTAAAAAACTCTGGTTGCGTAGAAAGTGAGGCAATCTTCCATGTCTCACTTGGTTTCTAGTCTGACCCCAAAAGGCTAGTGGCGACCTCCAAACTTAGAATGTATCTAACATCTCGCGAGATAAGTGTTTGGGAGAGCCCGTACCTAATTGAGGGCTGTTGCCCCGCCTTTTGGCCATTACCTCTAAACTTTGTCTTAACCCTGACTGCTCAAGGAAGTTATGGGTTTATTTTCTGAAAAATAAATCTGATGTGTTTGTTACTTATAAAAGATGGAAAGTAGAAATGGAGAATGAGACTGGCCAGAAGACTAAATGTTTAAGGTCCAATAATGATGGTGAACATGATAGCAAGAAGTTCAAGCGGTTTAGTGTAGAGAACATAATCACCAACATACCTTAGCAAAACGGAATTGTTGAGAGGATGAACAAAACTCTGAATGAGTGTGCAAGAAGTATGAGGATGCATGCGGGATTACCCAAGATGTTTTGGGCTGATGTAATCAACATAGCAACATATTTGATCAATAGAGGACCTTCAATTCCACTTGATTTCAAGCTACTAGAAGAAGAATGGAGTGGAAAGAAAGTGAATCTCACATCTGAAAGTTTTTTGTAGTGCTTTGTATGTCCACATTGTCGCGCCGCGCTTTCCCTACTCGAGCGCGCTAGAAGGTATTTTCGTTCATTATAAATGTTATGATGTTTTATTATTAAATGAACAAGGGTCTCTCCCTAACTATACCTCACGAGATAGCCGGTATTTGTTATTTTGTTTTCTATTAAGCATATGTTTCGTTTTGGAGTCGCCACTAGTCCTTAACGATCGACTAATTAAACTTTAAGTTTGGGGTTTTTTCTGAGATAAAAAAAAAGTTCGGAGCAGATTTGGGACTGAACCTAAAGTTTGGGATTTTTCTAAGACAAAAAAAAAAGTTCGGGCAAATTTGGGACTTGACCTAAAGTTTAGGGTTTTTTGGGGAATTCACCCCATGTTATAAGGTGGATCTAGATGGGTATGAAAGATCTCTCTCCCAAGACCAGGCCACCATTTGCGATAGTCGTGACTGGCTTCCTCTATCTTCATTAACACATGCGCGCGATGGGGACGGGGGAGGGGACGGCCTGAATTTGACAATGAGGGCTGGCGATGGTGGCAAGGACTGCAATGTGAAGGTGCCGGAGGCATGATGTGGAGCACTCATGATGATAGTAAAGGCAAACCGACAGTGACGGAGCCAACATTCCAATGGAAGGAGTGGGGCAAAATGGTCAATGTACTTAACTTAAAATTTTAGTTAATATTTCTTATTATTGTATATAGGGCTTAATTCCCTAAAAATGCCAACTTTATGTCTAATCTCGATCCTATCTATAACTTTTTTTTTTGTATAAAAAAATCACAAATTTTCACTATAATTTCAAATCCGACTGCACGTCAAAAAATTGCCACCGGTTACCAAATTTGAAATATAAATAACCAAATTACAACAAGTAGATCTACACGACAGGAGTTAGTAATATGTCCCAATCATGCTAATACTTTGACTGCTAAGATAGGAGCTAAATAAGGAAAGCTCTTCATCGTTTTTGTTACTCAAGCAACCGTGAGAAGAAGCAAACACAACGGGCACGCTAATCAAGAAGATTAATGAAGTAACAATTAATGCAAAAACTAACGCACACTAAATGGTTAGCGTTATTAGAAGTAGAACTATCACTCAAACTATAAATCTATTTATCTGTATTGTTTACATTCACATCTCCACTTCTTACAGGTCAATGGAATGTTTATGCCTAAAACATCGATTCAAGTAGTCATTTATTTGGTACTTTGCAAGGATCATGAACAGCCATTTTAAACCTGCTAGGGGGATTCCATCCACAAAACGCAAGCACCTTGCCTTTATCCTTATACTTAGCTGTAGGAAGTCCAGGTGCAAATGTGTCTATTTCACCAAGTATCTCTTCGACGCACTGCCTAAATCCAAAATAGTAGGATTGATTTTGAAAATAATAAAAGTGAAATATATTGAAATTTTGGCCCAACCGGGAGATCCTAATTCATTGGGGCTTTCAATACGATCAAATATAAATCCTAGCATAAAGGATCCAACGAAAAAAATAGAAGATGATTGAAACTGCCCATCCTACCTCATTTACATTCTCGAGAGAGCCCATCTTTGTTTCATTATGTTGGAAGATATGCGATATCTTCGATATTATTTAGATTGCGATTGCTATGCAAGGATCAATGAGATTGGATTTGATTTGTAAAATATATTGTTTCCATTATTCTTTTTCTCATTGTATTATAAGTATGTACATTGAGTATCGAACAATATAGAAAAATACACATTGAATTTCTCCCAAACCCTTTTCTTCCTATCTTCGATCTTGCTTTCTTTCATGGTATCAAAGCTGCTTCGCTCCTGATTTAACTTCCGCAAACACTAAACGATTGCCTGCCTTTTTTTTTGGACCTGAAAAACAAGGTACCCTTCCGGCAAAGGAATCAAATTTTTTAAAGCAAGAACGAAGAAAGGTTATACACTTACCTCACCATGGATCAGCAGCTACCAACCTCCGACCAGACTTCGACGGAGGAGACCACCCCAGATTCCAACCAGACTTCCACAGAGGAGATCAACCCACAAACCTCACGTACTCAGGACTCAACACTGGATCCACAGACTCTGTTTTCCACAGCACAGATCCAACCTATCTTCTGGCAACCCTTTCAGGCTCAGACAAATATGGGGCGGCCCATACCGGGCTCGCCCATCGTGGGCCAGCCAATCGAGGGCCAGCCTTTCCAATGGATACCGAATCCATGGTACCTTGGGCCGAACCCAAATGCATCATTGCCTGGGGCGAGCCAAGAAAATGCCCAGCCTAACAGCGGCCCACCAGCCGCAAGTGGAGCGGGCCCAACTGAAGGATCTGGAACGATCAATGCGGGGGTATCAAGCGGGTCAGGGAATCCGGGTTTGGGTCCAAATCCCTACCCGGTTCTGCCATCCGGTTTCTTGCCGTATCCAACAGCGGGCGTCACTGGTCGACCAGAGCCCGACGACGTTCTCTACGTCTCCGCCGCCGATGGACCGGAGTTGCGGCTCATTAGCCAACATCTCACGGGATCTGGAAATTACTCGATCTGGGCACAAGAATTCCGACGAGCTCTGGTGACCAAGGACAAAGACGGTTTCATAGACGGATCTGTTCCGATCCCGACTGACGAGAGAATGGTAAGGCAATGGAGAAAATGCAACCAGCTCGTTAGAACGTGGATAGGGAACTGTATTAGCCCAGAAATAGCCGTCGGACTTCCCCCCCAGAAGATGCAAAGAAGATGTGGGATAATATACGAGAAATGTACGGGAAATTGGACCGTGCGAGGATTTTTTCTCTTACCCAGGAGCTTTCAGAGCTAAAGCAAGGGAATATGAGCATAACCGCTTGCTTCAACAAGCTGTTGGCCCTCTAGAATGAGCTAGAATCAGTCGAAGAAAAGCTCGAGGGGCCCGAAACCATGCTACAACAATATAGGGCGATAAAAGACAGGGAGAAAGTCACACGATTTCTCTTGATTTTGAATGAATCATATCTCACCTTTAGATCGCAGATCCTCGCCATGGACCCGGTGCCACCGCTCGGACGCATCTTTCAACTGGCGGTACAGGAAGAGAGCCAACGACTCGCCTCGGCGGAGCATGCAAGGGGAACGGAAAGCATCGCCCTCGCAACCCGCGGCGAGCATCGCGAGTCGGGTTCCAGAACCCTAGACCGAGAGAAAGAACGGCGAAATGGGAAGCTAGGGTTTACAGGTGATGATCCACAGCAACTAAAAGGGAGTGGGCTGGACGGTGCAAATCGTGAGTCACGGTCTGAAGGCTGGAAGAGTTCTGATTCCTTAATGGAATCAGACAGTGGGCAGCAAGCCCAACCAAAGGCATCCAATGGCCAATTTTTTTCGGGTGCACAAAAGAATTATAGGCAGAATTTAAAGGCCAAAAAATTATTTTGTGAATATTGCAGGCGGCCCCATCACACAATCGATAACTGCTCGAAATTGCACGGTAAACCCGGGGAAAAAGGAAATAAAGGAAAAGAATCTTCGGCTGCAGCTTATCAAGTTACTGGTTCGAACAATGATCAACCCATCACATATGGGCAATATCAACAAATTATGCAGGCATTACAGAAATTGGATTCTTCCAACAAAGGCAGTTTTTTTTTCAGGTATTACTCATTGCCTGATAAATTCTATTTCCAGAAATGCATGGATTATTGACTCAGGGGCCAGCGACCATATTATTTGCGATAAGGGATTATTTTCCATTATTCATAAAGAATTAAATATCCCCATCTCTGTGAAATTGCCGAATGGGAATATTACTCTGGTCACTACAACAGGAACAGTAAATTTTAGTCCTCAGATCACACTCAGAAATGCCCTTTATGTTCCAGACTTCCAATTCAACCTCATATCTGTGTCTAGAGTGTGCGACGAAAATTCCTGTCGAGTCATTTTCGATGCTAATACTTGTCTCTTTCAGGCCCTTTCGACTGGCAGACTGATGGGCTTGGGTAGTCACTCTGAAGGACTATATTTTTGGACCAGCTTTCCCAGAAATTTCGATTTATCCCACATTTCTTTCAATAAAAGATCATTGTGTAATTTGACTGCCAATGATAAAAATTTCCTCATGCATTCCAGAATGGGGCATAGTGCTTTATTTCCTTATTCTCAGTGTCATATTTGCCCACTTGCAAAACAATCTCGCACGCCCTTTCCCCTTAGCAAGAGTCGTGCTGCTGATATTTTTTCATTAATTCACATTGATGTATGGGGGCCATATCACACGCCGCACCATGATGGATCTCGATTCTTTCTCACCATTGTGGATGATTATTCCAGAGCTACATGGGTTTTCCTTATGCAATCTAGGGTTCAAGTATTACATCACTTGAAGACATTCATTTCCTTATCAAGGACACATTTCGGGAAACATATTCGACGTATCCGGACAGATAATGGAAGGGAATTCTTCAACCATGAGTGCGACTATCTTTTCTCATCCCATGGCATTCTACATGAAAGCTCATGTACTTACACTCCACAACAAAATGGGGTAGTTGAAAGAAAACACCGCCATCTCTTAGAGGTTGCACGCGCGTTGAAATTTCAAGCTTTTATCCCAGATGCTTTCTGGGGAGATTGCGTGATCACTGCGGCCTACTTAATTAATCGAATGCCATCGAAAGTACTCAATGGACGGTCACCATATGAGCTCCTATTTGAAAAAAAGCCAGAGTTGGATCATTTACGGATTTTTGGATGCTTATGTTACGCTACTTTTATGGGCCCTCGGGACAAGATGAGTCCCCGTGCTCGGCGATGTACATTCATGGGATACCCAAATCTACAAAAGGGTTATCGTCTCTTTGACCCATCAACGGGAAAGTTTTTTGTAAGCAGGGATGTCATATTTCACGAAAACATTTTTCCTTTTGAAAGTAACTTCCCTCAGGAAGATGTAGGGGCAGACAACCATTCTCGTATCCTTCCCACTGAACAGGAAGGATTGAAGGATCCCTTATATGTTCCGACTATCAAAGGCTTCGAAACACCTAAGCCAATTTCTACCGAAGATATTTCTCCATCAACAGCTTTGGAGCCAGTGGAAGACGATGCGTCAATTGAAGATCTTCCAACACCCGCACCAGAACCTTTTGACAGAGAATCATCAATTGTTATGGAGGAAACTTCGCCATCACCACCAAGAGATCCTCCACGACGTTCCGGGCGCGTCACGCGTCCACCCACGTGGACTAAAGACTATGTCTATGCTGCACAAAATTTGCCAGGTATTCAATATCCCATCTCATCCTATGTTTCATTCAATAAACTCTCGTCGGAACATAAACGTTGTATTAGCCGAATATCTGAAAATCGGGAGCCGTCTAGCTATGATGAGGCTCCCACTGATCCACGATGGCAAAAGGCCATGGCAACAGAATTGCAAGCCTTAATTGACAATAACACATGGGAGCTTGTGCCACTGCCTTCTCATCGGAAGCCGATTGGGTGCAAATGGGTGTACAAAATAAAGAATAAGGCAGACGGATCCATCGAACGTTACAAAGCTCGATTGGTGGCTAAAGGTTTTACACAGCGGGAAGGTTTTGATTATCACGAGACATTCTCCCCAGTAGCCAAAGATGTCACCATCCGATCTTTCCTATCGGTTGCAGCCTTCCAAAATTGGGCATTACACCAAATGGACGTCCATAATGCTTTCCTTCATGGTGATTTGGATGAGGAGATTTATATGAAAATTCTACAGGGTTTTCGGAGACAGGGGGAGAATAAAGTATGTCGTCTCCGTAAATCCCTATATGGCCTTAAACAAGCTTCCCGGCAATGGTATGCAAAATTTGCGAATGCACTCATAGCTGCAGGATTCAAACAATCTCGTTTTGACTATGCTATTTTTACATGGACAAGAGGTATGTCATCTATCTATTTAATGATATATGTTGACGATATACTCATTATGGGAAATGACGACAATGCCATAAAGAGCCTCAAAGAGTATCTGCATTCCACTTTTCATATAAAAGACCTTGGATCACCCAAGTATTTTCTGGGAATTGAAATTGCCCGATCTGACCAAGGAATTTCCCTCAGTCAACGGAAATTTGTGTTGGAAATTATATCAGAAGCAGGTCTGTCAGGATGCAAGCCAGCTGTTGTTCCAATCGAACAAAATACGAAGCTGACCACAGCAGAATATGATGAGGGATCTTCCCAAGAAGATGACCCCATGCTCAAAGATCCATCAGGGTATCAGAAACTTGTTGGGAAACTCATATACTTGACTATGACCAGGCCGGACATATGTTATGCGGTGCAGACGCTCAGCCAGTTTATGCACAAACCAAAACAGTCTCACATGAATGCTGCACTGAAGATTGTGAAATATTTGAAAAAATGCCCAGGACTTGGGATATTTCTTTCTAGAAAGTGCAACATGGAAATGACGGCTTATTGCGATGCAGATTATGCAACTTGTCCAATGAGCAGAAGATCTGTCACAGGTTTTTGCATTAAGCTAGGAGACTCCTTGCTCTCATGGAAGACAAAAAAACAGCCGACTGTTTCACTATCTTCAGCAGAAGCAGAATATCAAGCAATGGCGAAAACCACTTGCGAGATAGTATGGTTACGAGGCTTACTGCGAGATCTTGGAGTACAAATTAAGGGTCCAACCAGACTGTTTTGTGATAATGATGTCGCTCTCAAACTTGCGGCTAATCCTATGGTGCATGAGAGGACGAAACACATAGAAGTAGATTGTCACTTCACACGGGAGAAAATTCAGGAAGGGATAATTGAAACAAGAGGGATTGGGACTGCAGAACAACCCGCGGATGTTTTCACTAAACCCCTTTGTCAGAAACAGCACGCATATCTACTGAGCAAGCTAGGTGTCTTGGACATCTACAAGCCACCAGCTTTAGGGGGAGTGTTGGAAGATATGCGATATCTTCGATATTATTTAGATTGCGATTGCTACGCAAGGATCAATGAGATTGGATTTGATTTGTAAAATATATTGTTTCCATTATTCTTTTTCTCATTGTATTATAAGTACGTACATTGAGTATCGAACAATATAGAAAAATACACATTGAATTTCTCCCAAACCCTTTTCTTCCTATCTTCGATCTTGCTTTCTTTCACATTAGAGTCTTTGTTTCGTGTACTAGTTTCCAATTTCCAATCAACAGCATGTAGATTTATAGGACATTACCGATGGCAGCTTTGAATAGATCATTATACTAACTATGATTCAATAGCTTCCACAATAAAAATTTGAATAAAATGATATACCAGTAAAAAATCAAAATGGGTTTTTTTTATTAAGATGGGAATCACTTCACCGCATCTCATTTAATGAGAATCGAACAAACCTTCAACCCGGTGTTCCACCCTTGTCGAATTAGAAGTAATAGGAGCATCCGTTGACCAAAAGATCACCCTAAGATGATCATCTCATGGCTATTGAGAACGAATCAAATCAGATGGTTTTATATCTCAATCTTTCTAATTTGTTCCTACAAAACCAAGGTCGAAAAAGATTTCAAAAAATCAATTATTCACAATTGCTGAAGAAGGATTCATTAAAAAGTTAAGGATAGTTATACATTTTATAAATCGAGTAGATTTGGTCTTATACATATGCGAGGAAGGTAATCGAAATAGAAAGAAGATGAGCTCTTCTGTCTTTTATCATTTAGGAGGCATGCGTGGGGGCTATGGTCTTAGACCTGCATCACCATTCATTTGATAAAATATTCCTGTTGATTGGCAATTGCTTTATTAGTATGGCATCTTTATTTGCTGTCCACCGGTGATTTCTTATATAGATATAGAGGGGAGCTAATCTCTATGTGGTGATATTCTAGAGATGATGCAAATAAGAGGAGAAATTGACAGAACTGCCGACACCGTGATTCGTAGCTAGGTCTCTAATCCTCTGAGCTATAGACCCCACCTTTCTGCATTGGATCTGTTCCTGAGAGTAACTTAAAAATAAGGGTTAATACCACGAAAAACCCTAAATCGGTACACTTGTGACACATTTACCCCAAACTATTTTTTTGACCATAAAAAACCTCAAACTGGTACATCTGTGACAATTTTACCTTGAACATACCACAAAAAATCCCAAACTGGTACACATGTGACAATTTTACCCCAAACTAATTTTTAATATTATTTTTTTGAATTTTTTCTTTTTTCTTTTCTTTTCTTTTCTTTTTTTTTCCTTCACCTTCAACCTCTGGCCAGTCGCAGATCCGGCGACCGGCTAGAGGCGGAAGCCGGCGAGGGCCGCCCTTGCCGGCCGCCCGACGTAGGCGAGGGTCGCCCTCGCAAGATCCGGCGAGGGCAGCCCTCGCCCGATACCGGCGAGGGTCGCCCTTGCCCTGGGCGGGCGAGGGCCGCCCGACGAATTTAGCGACGAATAAAGTTCGTGGCTAATTTGCGACAGACAGTGTTCGTGGCTAATTTGCGACGAATTTTTTTCCGTCGCAAAATTTTGCGACGCCCTATTAGCGACGGAATTTTTTTCGTCGCTAATTTCGTCGCAAATTCGATTTGCGACGGATTTTGCCAAATTTTTCGTCGCAAAATTCGTCGCTAATCCCTTGTTTTTTTTGTAGTGGAAAGGGTCTCCCCTGGTGGATAAAACATAATCCCCTGGATTTCATTTCTATAACGATCCGGTCCGATGAGGGCGGAGAGTAATCGCCGGGGCCAAAAGGGCCTGGATAAGGAGCGGCTTCCGGCAGGCTTCTAGGATGGTAAAAGGGGCATGTCTCCTGTCCCACATCGCCTAAGGAGGGAGCCTTGGGCTTACTTATAAAGGCTTGGGAAACCTTAACTTGTGATAGGCCTTTTTTGGAGGTAGTATAGGCTGCCCTCGGAGGAACAAAACCGTGAGGACTTAGTGTCCAAAGCGGACAATATCTTGCGAGTGGGACCCAGGTCATTACAAGTGGTATCAGAGCCGACTCCCGACCGCGTGTGTGGGGCCACAACGAGGACGCTGTGCTCGAAGGAGGGGAGAATGTAACGATCCGGTCCGACGAGGGCGGGGAGTGGTCGCCGGGGCCAAAAGGCCCAAGGAGCGGCTTTCGGCAGGTTTCTAGGATGGCAAGGGGGAGCATGTCTCCTATCTCACATCGCCTAGGGAGGGAGCCTTGGGCTTGCTTATAAAGACTTGATAAACCTTAACTTGCGAGAGGCATTTTTTGGGGATAGTATGGGCTGCTCTCGGAGGAACAAAACCGTGAGGACTTAGTGTCCAAAGCGGATAATATCTTGCGAGTGGGACCTAGGTCGTTATAATTTCGCTTGAAAATATGTATTAGGGAGGCAGTAAGCCATCCTCAACTAATTCGGCAGCTTCTCATCACATAGAAAGGATTGCTAAGATTTCATCATCTACTGAAAAACCTTATTCCAATTTTAAGAGCTCAGATTGAATCGGTACCTCAATATCGATTTGATCCAAGATCTCTTATTGAGTTATTCATTCAATGAATATTCTCAATATTATGCCTCGAAGAAAACTCGAACCTCCCCGCTGTTTAGCATGAGATTTTGAGTCTCGCATGTCTACCGTTTCACCACCAAGTCATCTTTCTTAAAATTGGTCTTACATATATTAATAAGAAGAAAGATGCACCATAAACTGTGCAAAATTAAGCAAACCCAGAGAAATTCTCTTCTGATAATGTAACTTTTTCCTCCTCTTGTGGGTGTATGCTCGAACCAAGGTTAGGTGCTCATGTAAATAAGCCTCTGAGAACACGTTAAAAAGCTATTTTATACATATGGAAGAGGAGAACGATAATATTTCAAGAATACGAAAAGTGTTATTTCTCACAGGAAAGTCCGAATGTACCGTGTATCGCCTCATGCGCGGGAGACATATTATTAGAAAACAATGCTTTGTTTATAATTCAAATGGTGAGGTGTGAGAAAACACGGAGAATGTGGAAACAACAACGCATTGAACCTTTTCTTTTCTAGAAAAACTAGCCAATGTGATGATCTATTTATTAATGGGTTAATACCACCAAAAACCCTAAACTGGTACGTGTGTGACAATTTTACCCCGAACTTTTTTTTTTACCACCAAAAATCCCAAACTGGTACACATGTGACAATTTTACCGCAAATTTTTTTTTTTACCACCAAAAACCCCAAACTAGTACACCTGTGACAATTTTACTCCAAACTGGTAAATTCGTGACAAATTTACCCTAAACTATTTTTTTGATCACGAAAAACCTCAAACTGGTACACCTGTGACAATTTTATCCCGAACTAATAATTTTTTAATATTTTTTTTTTCGAATTTTTTTTCTTCATCTCTAACCTCTGGCCAGTCGCCGGACCGGCGACCGGCTAGAGGCGGAAGTCGGCGAGGCTCGACCTCACCGGCGCGGGCGAGGGCTGCCCTCGCCCGACTCAGGCGAGGGCTGCCCTCGCCCGACTCAGGCGAGGGCTGCCCTTGTTGGATCTGGCGAGGGTGGCCCTCGCCGACGTCGGGCGAGGGCTTTCCTCGCCCGCCCAGGCGAGGTCGGCCCTCGCCGACGTCGGGCGAGGGCTGTCCTCGCCCGCCCAGGTGAGGGCGACCCTCGTCCGACTCAGGCGAGGGCTGCCTTCGCCGGCGTCGGGCGAGGGTCGCCCTCGCCTGGGCGGGCAAGGACAACTCTCACCTGACGCCGACGAGAGCCGCCCTCGCCAGATCCGGCGAGGGCTGACCTCGCCCGGGCGGGCGAGGACAGCCCTCGCCCGATGCCGGCAAGGGCCAACCTCGCCAGATCCGGCGAGGGCCGCCCTCGCCGGCGTCGGGCGAGGGCTATCCTCGCCCGACTCTGACAAGGGTTGCCCTCGCCCGACCAGGCGAGGGCTGGCCTCGCCCGACGCCGGCGAGGGCTGGCCTCGCCCGACGCCGGCGAGGGCAACCCTTGCCCGACGCAGGTAAGGGTCGCCCTCGCTAGCAACCGGCAAGGCCGACCTCGCCAGCTTCCGCCTCTGGCCAGTCGCCGAACCGGCGACCGGCCAGAGTTGAAGATGAAGAAAAAAAAACAAAAAAATTAATAAAAATTCGAAAAAATTAAAAAAATAATATTAAAATTTTAGTTCAGGGTAAAATTGTCACATGTATACCAGTTTGGGGTTTTTTGTGGTATGTTCAGGGTAAAATTGTCACAAGTGTATCAGTTTGGGGTTTTTTGTGGTATATTCGGGATAAAATTGTCACAGGTGTACCAGTTTGGGGTTTTTGGTGGTCAAAAAAAAAGTTCGGGATAAAATTATTACACGTGTACCAGTTTAGGGTTTTTGGTGGTATTAACCCATTTATTAATAAGCCAAATGGGAAAAATTAGAGCTTGTAATGAAATTGAATAATATTGGCGCAAAAGAAAGGGGAGAAAATAGACATTACATTTATTAATTAATTGCAGCGTCGGAACCAAGTCATAGAGGAAATACTCAAACGATCTATTTATTAATAAATGATTAATACCATGAAAAATCCTAAATTGGTACACCTACGACAAATTTATCCCAAACTAATTTTTGACTATCAAAAACCCTAAACTGGTACGCCTATGAAAAATTTACCCAAAACTAATTTTTTGACCATAAAAAATCACAAATTGGTACATTTGTGTCAAATTTACCCTCCGTTAGTGCTGTTAAATTGGATTAATACCACGAAAAAACTGGTAAACTTATAACAAACGGAGGGTAAAACCCCAAACCGGTATACCCGTTAACTGTCACGTATCATTTATCTTGACAATTTGACAGTAAAATTTAACAGAAACTAAGGAAGTATAAATTATCACAGGTGTATCAATTTAGGATTTTTTGTGGTCAAAAAATTTAGTTTGGGATAAATTTGTCACGGATTACTAGTTTGGATTTTTCGTGATAGTAATTCATTAATAAATCTTAAATTTAGATAATAGAAAAAGAGGGTGGAAGAGAGAGAATTCTGGTAGTGTATCATGGATTGTACCTCATTAATGGTCAACAACCCTCTTTCGACATGTTTTTTAGTAGTATATCATTAATTGTCAACAACCCTCCTATTTGACTTGTTTTCTGGCACTATAAACGTGAGATGTCATTTGGATAGACCGAGATAGTTTAAATGTTAACTTCGGTATTTTTCCATTTATCAAACACTGAACTTCCAAGTTTCCAACTTTCTTTCTTTCCTTACCCCTTTTTTTATCAACAGTGATGCGTCTCCAAGATCACCTCTCTCTCAAATAGTCCTCAATTTAGATGCAAAGTCAAGGGCTCACTTGTCACCCCCATGACAACTTGTCCTTCTATTACAACAGTTGTAAATCAAAATCATCTCTACCACAATCCAACAATATGTCCATGACTGTGAGGTACCGGGGAACTTACACCGTAAAGCCTGAAACCGCGACGTGGGTTGGCCACCTACCACTCTCGGAGCTGGACCAAATAGGCACCATCACCCATGTGCCCAACATTTACATCTTCAGACCACCCCCTGAATGGCTGCACCCGGTCGACGCCATCTTCGGCACTCTCCGGGGTTCGTTGAGCCGCGTGCTGGTCCCATTCTATCCGCTCGCGGGAAGGCTCAGGTGGCTCGACGGGGGACGGCTCCGACTCGATTGCAACGCCATGGGCGTCTGGTTCATCGAGGCCGAATCTGATGGCGAGCTCAACGACTTGGGCGATTTTTGTCCCCGTCCGGAGTTTGAACAGATTGTGCCAAGCGTGGACTACACGATGCCGATCCATGAGTTGCCACCATTGCTAGTTCAAGTCACCAAGTTCAAGTGTGGTGGGCTTGCATTGAGCGCCTCCATATCTCACGCGGTTGCTGATGGGCCAAGCGCTGCTCATTTCATGACTGAGTGGGCCCGGCTCGCCCGCGGCGAGCCACTGGGCATCGAGCCGTACTATGATAGAAAGGTTAGCCAGTGATTTAAAGAGCTTTCTTTTTTATAACACGGAGCATCTGAATCTTTTTTGGTTTTTCGAAATATAATCTAGAGGTAGACTTAATTTCCTGAAAAATCCCAACTTTAGGTCTAATCTCAATTTTGCTCCAAACTCTAAGGCCAATTAGCAGTTCATTATCAGAACATGTATCTTCACCAACACCCTCACATTCGTATGGAATTATCAACAACCTCCTGATATTGATAATTTTGTAGAAACTAGTGGCAATATTTGGACACGAAACAGATTTGAGACTAAGTGAAAGTTGGTTATTTCTTTTAGGGGCAGAATCGGGATTGAACTTAAAGTTTGGGGTTTTTTAGAAAATTAGGCCTCTAGATGTAGGAACTGGAGATTCGGTTATCTAAAGGCTGATGAAACACCATGCAAGAGTATCGGAACTTTTTGACATTATTAATATGAATTTGTTTAATAAAATAATTCAAGAAAACTAAGACTCTGGGGGTACCAAGAGGACACACAACACTTTTTTTAATGAATTAAACCAACGCTCTTTGGAATCATATAATTTATTACACCTGCTTGCTTGCAAATAAATGACAACCAAAGAACCCATTCAAAACATCCGAGGTTGACCATATAGTTTTGACTAATAGGACTTTTCCTTAGTCTTAGTTAGCTCCTCACTACCCATTACAAGAGGATGGTTTCTCACAGATGCCTCTGCCTTTTGGCATTACAAGCAACAAGGAATCACCTTCGAGAACATTTTATTTCTATGCAATTGAAACTAGAGTGCATTTGTTTCACGAAAAATTCAAGATTTGAAAAACATTTTTCAAGAAATAATCCTTTGTATCGCTTAGAAAAATAAATGAATAAAAAATATTTTCCTCACTGACGAAGATAGTTAAGTATAAATTGTGTCGACAATGGAAAATTTTTTCCATTGACTAATTTTTCTAAACAACATAACCAATCATTTTTTTAAAATTTTTGTTCAAATTTTGAATTTTCTGTTAAACAAACGCACTCTAACAATTATTCACCATTTCCCTTTCTTTTTAACCGGAGGTTGACCCTAACAATTATTCACCCTAACATTTTATTGGAAATTTTTTTCAAATTTTGATTTTTGTGTCTCCTTGCATCTTCTCCACCCTATCTAGTGTTCCTTGTCGCCTTGTAGGTAAACTATTATGTTTATTTATTTATGTAGTTTTTCTTTTGTCGTCACCAATCAAAGGAAGTGTCTATGCTCGGTTGAGAAGTGTTAAACTCTTTTCATATTTTTGTTACCATCATCAAACTAAGTTACGTTCTTTTTATAAATCTTATTTATCGTGCCCTGTTTAATCCGGCAGAGTGCAAATGTTATTAGGAGTGCATTACAATTTCCATCATTCCTTATATTGTAATTTTATAAAGTTACAGATTCTCAAATGCCTTTTTGCATCAACTTGCATTTTTAAATTCATTTTCGAGTGTCGGATTTTTGGGACAACAACCAATTGTTCTAAAAACTTAAGCTAGCCTAAAGCGGGAAAATATGTAATTGGGAAGAAGCTTAAGCTAGCCTAAAGCTGGGAAATATGTAATTGGGAAGGCAATTAGGGGCATGAAAAGATTTGAACTTATAACCTCCAGCTTTGATACCATATGAGATTTTGTGGGATCACAACCAATTGTTCTAAAAATGTAAACTTTTAGATGAAAGCGTGGTTTATATTTAATTATTCTAACACTGAGCTTCCCCATTATATTACTTTCAAAAGGTTTTTTATTTTCAATTTCCGTGCCAAAACATAGAAATTGACATCTTATTTCGCAAAGCTCGAAGCATATCGTCTCTTATACTATGACTTCAGTCTTTGTATTCACTTGCCTGATTTTTTCGTTTTCAACAAGGTTTTATGGGTGGGCGAAGATCCAACTGGCCCCCTGCTGCCGCCGCCAAACTTGGAGCACTCCGAGTTCGACCACCCGCCGCTGCTGATCGGCCACACTAGCGACCTAGAACAGCGTAAGAAGAAGACCACCATGGTCATGCTAAAGTTGACGAAGACCCAAGTTGAAACCCTAAAGAACGCGGCGAACAAGGACCGAGCCGGCCACCACCCACGTCCCTACACCCGATATGAGACGATGTCCGCGCACATATGGCGGTGTGCGTGCAAGGCTCGCAAACACAAGCCCGAGCAGCCAACCACGCTGTGCATCTGCGTTGACGCCCGCAGCCGCCTACGGCCATCCCTAAAGCCTGGATACTTCGGCAATGCAACTTTTGACGTGGCCGCTGCTGGCACATCCGGTGAGCTGGCATCAAGCCCGCTTGGTTGCACCTCGAGCAAGATTCGAGAGGCCATCGAGACGGTGACCCACGACCATGTGAGGTCAGCCATTGAGCACATCCGGAGACAACCGGACCTGACCATGTTTCAGGATCTGCATGCCCTAGGAAGCACACAAGGGCTTTTCTATGGAAACCCTAATCTCGGCGTGGTGAGCTGGTTGACGCTTCTGGTGTACGGCCTTGACTTCGGGTGGGGGAGAGAGATTCACATGGGGCCTGGGAACCACGATTTCGACGGCGATTGTCTGGTTCTTCCAAGTCTTGAGGAAGAAGGTGGGTTGGTGGTGGCCGTGGGCTTGAAAATAGCGCACATGGAAGATTTCAAGAAGTTCTTCTATGAGGATATCGTTGATTAATTCATGAACTGATTAATGTTTAATATTGCTAATGCTTTTGGTCGACATATTGTTAAATCTGGGGCTTCGTGTTATAATGTATCTAGATATGAGTTTAAGATCCTAGCAATTAGCAAATACGAAAGGGTTTGAATTATGTCCTTGTAAGAGATATGGAGTCATTTATCAACAACTCACTGGATCGGGATTCTCTATATAGAAGTTAATATGCCCGATCGATGTATGAGCCCGCTCAAGATCTAATAATGCGAATTCGAATAACAGAAGCAACCTAATTCTAACCCCCTATGGATATGTAATTAGGTCATTTTGTGTTAATGCGTAATGAGTATATTATTGTTTAACATAGAATTTACTAACCAATGCCTTGGTTAGAGATTAATTGCGGGCTTGCTTCACGGATCAGTGCTCTGTGCAGGGATGACGAAGGATTAGTGGTAGGATCTTAAGTTATCTCTATGCTATACGGATTTGTTAGAGTTTTAGTTTTGTGGACTCGGAGCGGGTTCGTTACAGACGGTTTAATCTACCCCTAACTCTTTCTAGTGAGCTTGGTGTTAGCCTGTTGACGATGAATTATCAAAAGGACTAAGCCTGATCTTAACACCTAATGTAAATTTGCTTGGGGTATAAGTTCATTAGTATAACGAAAATTTTAAGAGTCACTTTCTTCTACATTTTGATGAGGATTTCGTACTGTAATCTAGTCTTACAGTACATGGTTGGAAAGTTCCATGTGTTTAGGTTCTGATGCGTCAAGTTCCATGATGTTTGGAGCCTTCTAGAGAAGTCCAGCCCAATGTAAGTGTTACCAAGTTTACGTAAGATTGCGTCTTTGCATCTTTCTACGAGTTAGTTGGGTCCTATGCACGTAGTATTTTGTTCCTAGAGTCATATCGAATCAAGAGCCAATCTTGTTTGTTTTAATAAGGGATCGTTGGTCTTCTCTTAAGAATGATTGATAAGGTGTATCGAAATATGTCTATGCTTGGAGGGATGTTCCCAGTTGAGTCTATTTAAAGTCATCCAAGGTTTCATTGAGAGTTTGAAAAATAAACACCGATAGTCCTTATACTTTGGCTTAATGAGCAATGTCATCATGAGAATATTAATTTGTTCGATGTGGTCCTAAGCTATTTCTAAATGTTCAATATAGTCTTTAAACTATCAATTAGTTCAATCTAGTCGCTCAACTTTCCATAACCAAGTCAAATCAGTCACTTAGTACTATTCAAAAGTTTTCATAATTAAATTATTGCCCAGATTTTGGAATACCTTTTTAATTCAATCAATTTGCTAAATTAACAAAACATATTCTATTTTATCTTTTTATTTCCCTTTTACCTTATTGGCTTTTACAAATACTACGATACTTCCATTTAAGTAAATTTTAGCTTATTATCTTTATAATATAAAAGGAGAAACTCAACTTAGAGTTATAACAGGTTGATATTCTTGTTAGTTTATGTCTAAATGTTTTCATCATAATATCTGGAAATGATTTTAGTTTATCTATAGATATTCATACTAATATGAATCTAAATCTTGTTCATCATACATTTTAAAGCACGAAACACAAAAGATTGATAATTTTAACAATCCAAAAAATTAGAATGAAGATTTATGTTATTTAAAATGTTCATCAATCTAAAATATAATGTACAACATAGACTAATATAAGTACGAGTTTGGACTCTTGGATTAAAGTTTAATCTTAACCCTATATCCATATGTTGGATTACTATTAGTGGTTAGTACATGTCTTGTCTATCAAGGTTGATTCCATAGGAGGTGAGCAAACTATCCTACTATATGCCATGTATCCTGAGGTATATTCCTTAGATGGTGAACGTTTATTCGAACTTGTGTTACCCTCTAAATCTCCGACCACTTTAGTATTCATTGGAATTAGAGTCTAGGCTATGGTAGGTCATCGTCATGGACTAAATGTGGTTGCACCCGTAGCCCGTATGCGCGATTACTGTGATGTGAAATTGCACAATTTGAGAAGACAAGTACAATGAGTCCAATAACTATTTGAGCAATCTTAATTGTTGAGGCATGGCGTTTACCGTCATGACCAAGAAGAGGAAGAAGACGAAGAGGAGATTAGCTCCTTCCATGATGACCATTCCGATACATACAGTGGAGAGGCGTCACTGTCGTTGGAACCGTGATTTTCACAATTTTGATGTCAAAGTCGACATTGCGGAACTCGAAGGCACTACTTATCCGGAAGACATCATCGACTAGCTGGACAAAATCGAGCAAGTTTTCAATTATAAGAATACTGCAGAGATTCGAAAAGTGAAACTCGTGGCCATCAAACTTAAAAGCTTGTCTCTATTTGGTGGGAAATCTAAAGGGTCGACTCGTGAAGGAAAGCAGCATGTGGGAGATTTTGAAGGAGGAGCTCAAGAAGAAGTTTGTTCCCGAAACTTATAAGCAAGACGCTTTCTTCAAGTTCCACAACTTCAAACAAGAGACGCTGCCTGTGGAAGAATTTGACCGCCGAATTTGAACGTCTCATGCTTCAATGTGATATGGTTGCAGCCGAGGAGCAAACTATCGCTTGTTACCTTGGCAGTCTTTGATCGAAAATTGCCGATGTTGTCCAAATTATACCCTATTGATAAACCTTTAATGATGTTTTCAAATTAGCCATGAAGGTGGAAAGCAACTCAATGGGAAACGCGGGAGAAGTCGTAAGTTGACCAAAGAGGGATCTTCTAACCAGGGAAATTCGACCTCGGAGCCTTTTCTGGACATTAAAGGTGACCTCCTCAAAACTATAGAATAACACCTCAAAATGACCATCGTAACGCTTTCAGCACCAACTCAAGATACTGCCTTAAGGGTCATGGATTCGGTCAAATTGCTGCAGAGTGTCTTAATAGGAAATCGTTACTCTTGTGGAGGATGAACAAGAAGATGGGCCACAATATGACACTTTGCTCCAAGAAGACTCAAGGAGTGAAGAAGAAATCACTTTTAGAGATTAAGGAGAATCTCTTGTCACTCAAAGGAACTCAAATGCTATTCATCTAAGAGGATGAAAATTGACTTCATAACAACGTATTTCACACTCAGTGCACTTTCTCGCGGCAAGGTATGAGATATCGTCATTGATAGTGGAAGTTGGGAGGATGTTGTTGCCACCACCATGGTAGACAAATTGCATCTCAAGGTGGAGGACCATCAGACATCCCTACAAGCTTTTTTGGCTTAAGAAAGGAATGAGCTTAACGCAAATAAGCGATGGTTTGTTGTTATCTCAATTGGCGAAGAATATAAAGATGAGGTTATGTGTGATGTTGTTCCTATGTATGTATGTCATCTACTTCTTGGGTGACCATGGTTGTATGATTAAAGGATGATCCGTGATGGCTTTTAAAACACCTATAGAACATGTGAATAACCCTATGGAACATGTCAACAAGTTGCTAGATTCATATGGGAGTGGAATGTAAAAAGTATTAGGGCAAAAGCTACAAAAAAAAACCCCATACTATGCCCACTGTGATATATTTACCTCAAAACTTTTTTCCGTGTCACAAAAAATCCTAAACTTGTACATGCGTGACGCATTTACTCTCCATCAAAGAAGACCCTTAAAAATCTACATATATTAATGCCGGAAAGCAAATGTTGTTGAGATGGCATTTATGTGGCTTAAGTGAAATAAAAACGACGTTTTTTTACTCAAAAATCATTTAACGGAACCTTGATGATGGATAAATGTATCACATAGGTAGAAATTTTGGGGTTTTTTATATCACAAGAAAAAGTTTAGGGTAAATGTATTACAATGGGTATAGTTTGGAGTTTTTGATATTACAAAAAAAAGTTCTGGGTAAATATGTCGCAGTTGGTATAATTTGAGGTTTTTTTGTGATTTTGTCCCAAAGTATTATTCAAATTCACATTCTCTGCACATGAAACATCAGTTGTTAATGCAACAAATCAAACCACGATACATGTTAGCAGAGTAAAGAAGAAGTGAATGCCTCGCTTTTTCTAATAAAATATATATCATGTTAAGAATTTAAAAGATGAGGTATGCAAAAACACAAAGAATGTGAAGGACCAAATAATCTATTTATAAATGAACCGTACGTATAGATGGTAGAAAAGAAGGGGAAAGAGAGAGAACTGCACTCGATAGTTGTTCATCAATTATAAAAACACACTAGTTAGGTGTATATACTGTTGTACCAAATGTGACATTTTCAGCCACACAAAATAGAGTTTTGATTTAGCCGAATAGTGGACTCTCTCTTTGGCCGCACATAGAGCTATGAACACCGTGACTTTTGTGCAGAGAATTCTAATTCAATTGAGACGCTTTCTTCGTGGAGACGTGAGTGTTTCAAACCGTGAGGTAATTCTCAGTGATTCACATATCAAGCAATTACATGAGGTTAAATACTATGAAATTGGGTGTAATTTGGTTGGAAAACGCTTGAGCATGTGAGCAATTGTAACTCTATACTTTTTCGATTAATTAGTGGATTATTTGCGACTGGCTATTTCCATAGAGTAGGTACCGACACTCGGACTGAACCACATAAATCTCTTGTGTTTTACTATTGTTCCTCATTGATTTCTCCATTGATCTCATTCTCTTGTGTCGATTTAAATGCAAGATCTGTTAGCTTCCACTCCAACAATTGGTATCGGAGTTAAAGCTAGGATTTTTGGAATTGATTTGGGGATTTCGCTTGCTCGGTCTTTGTCCATAAATTATGTCGTTCCCCTTATTTCTGGAGCGAAATTAGAAATTGATAAGTTTAACAAGAGAAACAACTTTGGCTTGCAGAGTGTTAAGATGCGTATGTTATTAAAAACTCAAGATTTGACAAAGGCATTAGATGGCAAAGCTAAGTAACTGGAAACAATGAAAGATGTCGAGAAGGATGAATTAATGGAGAGGGCAAAGAGTATAATCACATTGAACCTACTGGCTGAGGTGTTAATAAAATTGGCTGAGGAGAAGGATG